TTAACTGCCTATCAAAACTAAACTCAACACTTCTTATAGGAAGAAGACAAAATCCAAATACTCAACAACATAACATTCACAATGTCCAACATCCAATCAGTTACTAGAAATGTGGAAAAGCAAAAACACTCTGACTTAAACCAGGAAGAAATATTTCAACAGATACAGATCCAAAAATGACAAGATAATAGAATTAGCAGACAAGAACTTTAAAACAGACATCATAAATATATTCCAGGATCTAAAAGAAAACATGAAAATGATGAGGAGAGAAATGGAAGACACTTAAAAAGCAACAACCAAAAAGATCTTCTAGAGCTAAAATATATAATACCTGAAATGAAAATTTTCCTAAATGGAATTAGACACTGCAAATTAAAAGTTTAGACATTGATTAATGAACTTGAAGACACAGCAAGAGAAACTATCCAAACTGAAGCACAGAGAACAAAGTTTCAGTTATGCAGGATGAGTAAGTTCTAGCAATCTAATGTACAGCATGGTGACTATAGTTAAGAATACTATATTGTTTTTTTGGTTTTTTTTTTGCAGTACGCAGGCCTCTCACTGTTGTGGCCTCTCCCGTTGCGGAGCACAGGCTCTGGACACGCAGGCTCAGCGGCCATGGCTCATGGGCCCAGCCACTCCGCGGCATATGAGATCTTCCTGGACCGGGGCAAGAACCCGTGTCCCCTGCATCGGCAGGCGGACTCTCAACCACTGCGCCACCAGGGAAGCCCCTATACTGTATACTTGAAATTTACTAAGAAGGCTGATCTTAAGTGCTCTCACCACACACATAAAAAAAAAGGAAAAGGGAGCTATGTGAGTTGATGGGTATGTCAATTAGCTTGATTGTGATAATCATTTCACAATGTATGTATACATTTCACAATGTATACATATAGCAAAACATCACACTGTACACCTTAAAATCATACAATTTTTATTTGTCAATTATACCTCAGTAGAGCTGTAAAACAAAACCAACAAAAACAAACTGAAGTACAGAGAGAAAAAGGATGGAAAGAAATTAACAGAGCCTCAGTGACCTATGGGGCAATATCAAGTGGCCTTACATGCATGTTACTTAAGTCCCAGAAAGACAGCAGGAGAATATTTGAAGGAATAAGGCTGAAAACATTCCAATCTGATGGAAGCTATAATTCCACAGGTTCAAGAAGTTCAATGAATTCCAAGCAGGTTAAACACCAAAATCCAACAAGACATACCATATTCAAATTACTGGAAGCCCATGATAAAGAGAAAAATCTTAAAAACTGTCAAAGAGGGACTTCCCTGATGGCCCAGTGGTTAAGAATCCATCTTGCAATGCAGGGGACGCCAGTTCAATCCCTGGTGGAACTAAGAGCCCACATGCCACGGGGCAACAAAGCCTGCACGTAGCAACTACTGAGCCTGGGCACCACAACTAGACAGAAGCCCATGCACTACAATGAAAAGCCCACATGCCACAACTAAGGCCCAATGCAGCCAAAAAATAAATAAATATTAAAAAAAAAACTGTCAAAGGAAAAAAAAAGACATTACATACATGGGGGAACAAGGATAAGAATGACTACTGACTTCTCATCAGAAACAATGCAGGAACTAACACAACATTGTAAATCAACTATATTCCATTAAAAATTATAAAGAAAAAGAAACAATGCAAGAAGATAAGTAAACAACAATGTTAAGTGATGGGGGAAAAAAAGAACAACCTAAAATTCTATACTTAGCAAAGTATCTCTCAAAAATGATGGTAGAAAAATAGTTTCAGAAAATGAAAGCTTAGAGAATCATTGCCAGCAGACCAGCACAAAAAGAAATATTAAGGGAAGTTCTTCAGGCTAAAAGAAAATGATATGAGATAGAAACTTAGTTGTACACAATGACTAGAACTAGAAATGGTAAATATATGCATAATTATGAAATATTTTCTCAATAAAATTTACTTATATATAATTGACTGTTTAAGCAAATACAACAGCAACATATTGTAGGGTCTACTATATATATAGTAGTAAAATGTACAACAATAGCACAAAGGATGGAAGGGAGAAACGTAAGTATGTTTTTGTAGGTTTCTTACATTAAAAGTGAAGTGCAGGACTTCCCTGGTGGCGCAGTGGTTAAGAATCCACCTGCCAATGCAGGGGACATGGGTTCAAGCCCTGGTCTGGGAAGATCCCACATGCCACAGAGCAACTAAGCCTGTGCGCCACAACTACTGAGCCTGAGCTCTAGAACCCATGAGCCACAACTACTGAGCCCGCATGCCACAACTACTGAAGCTTGCGCACCTAGAGCCCATGCTCTGCAACAAGAGAAGCCACCACAATGAGAAGCCCGTGCACCGCAACAAAGAGTAGCCCCTGCTCGCTGCAACTAGAGAAAGCCCATGCGCAGTAACGAAGACCCAATGCAGCCAAAAAATATAAATAAATAAATACATACATACATACATAAAAATTCTTTAAAAAAAAAAGTGAAGTGGCAAATCATTAGAGAAATGCAAATCAAAACCACAATGAGGTATCACTCACACCAGTCAGAATGGCCATCATCAAAAAATCTACAAACAATAAGTGCTGGAGAGGGTGTGGGGAAAAGGGAACCCTCTTGCACTGTTGGTGGGAATGTAAATTGATACAGCCACTATGGAGAACCGTATGGAGGTTCCTTAAAAAACTAAAAATAGAACTACCATACGACCCAGCAATCCCACTACTGGGCATATACCCTGAGAAAACCATAATTCAAAAAGATACATGTACCACAGTGTTCACTGCAGCACCATTTACAATGGCCATGACATGAAAGCAACCTAAATATCCATTGACAGATGAATGGATAAAGAAGATGTGGTACATATATACAATGGAATATTACTCAGCCATAAAAAGGAACAAAATTGAGTCATTTGTAGTGAGGTGGATGGACCTAGAGTCTGTCATACAGAGTGAAGTAAATAGAAAGAGAAAAATACCATATGCTAATACATATATATGGAACGTAGAAAAATGGTATTGATGAACCTAGTGGCAGGGCAGGAATAGAGATGTAGAGAATGGACTTGTGGACACAGGGTGGGAAGGGGAAGCTGGGACGGACTGAGAGAGTAACACTGACACATATACACTACCAACAGTAAAATAGATAGTGGGAAGCTGCTGTATAGCACAGGGAGATCAGCTTGGTGCTATGTGATGACCTAGAGGGGTGGGATGGGGAGGGTGGGAGGAAGGCTCAAGAGGGAGGGGATATATGTATACACATAGCTGATTCACTTTGTTGTACAGCAGAAGCTAACACAACACTGTAAAGCAATTATAATCCAATAAAGATGTAAAAAAAAAAGTGAACTGGTATGATATTATTTGAATGTAGATGTAATGCATTAAAATACCTATTATATATAATGCAAACCCAAAAGCAACCACTAAGAAAAAGAGTGAAGAGATATAGTTAATTGGACAAAAGAAATAAAATGGAATACTAAAACAATAACAATATAAAGACAGAAAAGGGGACTTCTCTGGTTGTCCAGTGGTTAAGACTCTGTGCTTCCACTGCAGGGGGTGTGGTTTCGATCCCTGCTTGGGGAACTAAGATCCCAACATGCCGTGTGGTGCAGCCAAAAAAAAAGACAGAAAAGAGGAAAAAGCAAGGATGGATTGTGTAAATAGAAAAACAGCAAAATAAGAGTCTAAAACCCAACTGTATCTATAATTACATTATATATAAATAGTAAAAATTCTAAGGACCCCACTTGAAAGTCAGAGATTGTCAAATTGTAGGAAAAAACAGACCACAACTATGTGTTATCTTACAAGAGATGTAGTTTTTAAAGACATAGATTTAAAGTAGAAGGAAAGAAAAAGATATACAATGCAAATACTAATCAAAAGATAGCTTGGCTACCTTAATATCAGATAAAATAGACTTCAGAGCAAAGAATACTGCCAGAGATAAAAACATTTCATGGCTATAAAAAGATCAATTCATCAAGAAGATATAATAATCAACGTATACACATTTAATAACAGAGATTCAAAATATGTGAAGCAAAACCTGACGGGAATGAAAGGAGAAACAGGCAAATCCATAATTACAGATAGAGATTTCAACACTTCTTCCTTAGTAATTGACAAAACAATTGAACAAATTAGAAAAACTAGGGAAGAGAATTCCCTGGCAGTCCAGTGGTTAGGACTCTGCACTTCCATTGCAGGGTGCATGGGTTCAATCCCTGGTCAGGGAACTAAGATCCCACAAGCCTCACCGTGTGGCCAAAAAAAAAAAAGAAAGACTACAAAAGACCTGAATGCTAACCAACTTGACCTAACTGACATTTATAGAACACTATTCTCAACAACAGCAGAATACAAATTCTTTTCAGGTGCACGTGAAACATTTACCAAGACAGAAATCACATAAAATATGCTCTGTGATCACAGTAGAATTATATTAAACCAATAACATAAAGATATCTAGAGAATCCCCAAATATTTGGAAATTAAATAAAATACTTGTAACAACTCATTGGTCAAAGAAGAAATTACCAGGGAAATTAAAAGCGATTTTGAGGTAAATGGTAACTAAAATACAATATATCAGAATGTGTGGGATGCAGTTAAAGCACTGCTTGAAAACAATTTAGAGCTTTAAAGATTTATATTCTAGAAAAAGAAAGGTCTAAAAATCAATCATCTGAGTTTCTACTTTAAGAATCTAGAAAAAGAAGAGCAAATTGAACCCAAAATAAATAGAAGAAAGGAAAGAAATAGTAATAGTAACAGAAATCAATGAAATAGAAGATGGACAATCAATAGAAAAAAATCAATGACACCAAAAGTTGATTCTTTGAAAAGAAAAAAAAAAGAGGGAAAAAACCTATAAATAATATCATGAATGAAAGAATACACAGCACTACAGATCATTACAGACATTAAAAGAATAACAGGACACTGAACAATTGAAATCATCCAACCTACCTCTTCAAAGGAATATTTTTCTACAGTGTGAAGAGCATCTTGTGTCTCATTCCACCCTCCAATAGAATAGATGCAGTCATTGAGTGCAGCCACCCCAAGATATGCTCTTCTGGTTCCCATTGGAGGAAGTGGAGACCAACGCTTGGAAAGTGGATCATAAACTTCAAAAGAACGAAGCTCTATTCCTTCATTGCTGATGCCCCCAATCACATAAATTAAACCTGGAAATGGAATATTTTTGCTCAGATGCTACAGAAAATAGGATACAAATAATTATAAAAAGTAATAATTGTGATTTAAGTTTGCTATCTGATATTATACTTAATGCAGGGCTTACAATATTCTTTTAAGAGAGAAAATTGACTTCTGTCTAGTTTATCACAGCTCTCATTTAAGAATGTTACAAAGAATTAGGGGTATGAATTTAAAGTGGCATTGAATTGTCAAAGAACTTAATGATGCTATAACAAAACAATTTGTCAGACAAGGATTTCCGATCTTATTGTTTGCTTAATGATCTCAAGTTCCAGATCCACTGCTACCACATATAGGTAAAAAAGGATGGGGAGAAGGATTTGTTCCCCCTTAAAAACTGTCATACACTTAAACTGGGAATGACATGACCCTGTTGGTGACAACCTAACGGTTGCTCAGATGGACAAAATGAATTTAAATTAGAATAGTTCATGGCTAGATTAAGGTATCAGATACTGTACAGTAGACTGCAATTCACAGAGTTCCTTATTAAATTTAACTTGAAAATAATGGTTCTGACAATCAACAATTATTTTTTTTGAGTGTCTACTGTTGTTCCTAGAGGTCTAAAGTGAGAAGTTATAAGGAATGGCATTTTAAAAAAATTTATTTGGCTGCACGGGGTCTTAGTTGCGGCACACAGGATCTTTGTTGCCGCGTGTGGGATCTTTGTTGCGGCATGCGGGATCTTTAGTTTCAGCATGGAGAATCTAGTTCCCTGAGCAGGGATCAAACCCATGCACCGTGCATTGGGAGTGCAGAGTCTTAACACTGGGCCACCAGGGAAGTCCCAAGGAATGGCATTTTAAGAAACATGAGCTAAATGTTAGTAAACTTGGGTTCTAGCTCCAGCTTTGCTAGTAACCAACTATGAGAAAAGACAACTCACAGCCTCCTGATCTTCAGCTTCCTCATCTAAAAATAAAGGGGTTGAAATAGAGAATCTCCAAGATGCCTCTCTAGCTCTATGATTTTAGATGGGAAGATAAAAATAATAAATAAAAAACAATTAGAGAACACTATATTAAATAATAGAACATAGTCTGCACCATGTAATTTGAGTATTTAGCTGCTAGCAGAAATCTGAGAAGGTACTCAGAAGGCAGAAAGAATTTCAGCTGGGAAGAGAGCAGGCTGAATTGTCACATAACAATGGGCAGACTGCTTCCTACTCTACAGGTACATGTAAATCTGTTCTCCAATTCTGGACAGAGAATCAGGTTCTATTTGAGAGTGCTTATTAATTACCTCTCAGTGTATAACAGACAATTACAATTAAAATAACATCTGTATACCACTTTAATATGTAGTACAACATTTTTCAAATCTGTGATAGCATTGTGTGTGTAATGAATCACAATGTACTCTATAAAAAAACACTGAAGAAGCCTATGACACTATGAAGATTGTTTTTGATAATCTCTCCCTACTTAGAAATATATACTAAGGCCTACAAGGGACAGAAAATAAAATAATGGATGACAGTTCAAATGCTTATTTTGCTAATTAGGTATTTTTGCCCATCTGGAATTCTTAATTCTAGCTCTGTTTATTTTGGGGAAAAAAATGATTATTTTGGCAATACAGAAATAAAGATATAAGAGGTTTAAAAATATAAGAGATTAGAAGCAGAATTTCCACACTGTTAGTGTCAATTATTCAAAACTAACAGACATAAAATATACTTTTGTGAAAATAAAGCCTCAAGCTCAAACAGTTTTTTTAAAATATATATATTCAGGAAAAATATTTTATAAAGCAATTACCTTGCATTTCACAACACCCAAAGTAGTAGCGTGACATAGCCATGTTGCCAACTACTTCCCATTTATTTTCATCGGAATCAAATCGTTCAATGGTGTTCCCTATCTCAGCTCCAACCCAACCACCTGAAACCAAACAGAAAAATATTATTTTTGGAAAAAAGGAATTTTATTTTTGAAAAACACCTTAGAGGGACCTCCCTGGTGGTCCAGTGGTTTAAGAATCCGCCTTCTAATGCAGGGTATGCTGGTTTGATCCCTGGTCGGGGAACTAAGATCCCACATCCCGCAGGGCAACTAAGCTCGCGTGCTCTAGAGCCCACGCGCTATTGCTAGAGAGAAGCCCGCCGGACTAATGGAAGAGCCCGCGCACCGCGACGAAGAGATCCCGCATGCCACAGTGAAGGTCCCGTGTGCCGCAACTAAGACCCGATGTAGCCAAATAAATAAATAAATATTTAAAAAGAAAAACACCTTAGAAAACATCTAATCTGACAACTTTATATTATGGATGATTATCCTGTGGACCAGAGAGGTTATCTGTCCAAGATCACGTGAAAAGTTAGAATTTGATTGTAAGTAGAACTTGGGTCTTTTAACTCTCTGCCTAGGTTTCACAGGAGATTTTTTTTTTTAATATTTGGCTGCGTTGGGTCTTTGTTGCTGTGCGCTGGCTTTCTCTAGTTGCAGTGAGCAGGGTCTACTCTTCATTGCGGTGCATGGGCTTCTCATTGCAGTGGTTTCTCTTGTTGTGGAGCATAGCCTCCAGGTGCACAGGCTTCAGTAGTTGTGGCACGTGGGCTCAGTAGTTGTGGCGCACAGGCTTAGTTGCTCTGTGGCATGTGGGATCTTCCCGGACCAGGGCTCGAACCCGTGTCCCCTGCATTGGCAGGAGGGTTCTTAACCACTGCGCCACCAGGGAAGCCCTCACAAGAGATTTTTAAAAAATAAAACAAAACAAAACCAAAAACTTCAATCTATTGCATAGGAAATATGGTACTTTGCAAAACAACTTTTTGAAACAACGTCTGTGTATTCAGAATGGTTATCCTAACCATGAAATTTAACTAGTCAGCTAAAATGCTCCCCTAGACATCTCATCTATATTTTATGTCCATCTCCTTCTAAGAATTCCATACTTGACAATATTTCCCAAGTAATATAATTTTGAGAATAAGAACTTTTAAAGCTAAAAAGACACAAGTTTTTTATGGGAGGGAAGGAAAATTTCTAAAGTAAACAGAATTTGGCTAAGAATTTAAATAATATTAGATATCCTTAAATTGGAGAGTATAATTACCCAAAGCATAGATAGCCCCATAACACACACACACTCCCAAGCCACAGCGGGGGTGATTCATTGAAGCTACAGTTGTCCACTGTTTAGTAACAGGATCATAGCATTCAGTACAGTCAAAAATCATTGAATCCTTTTCACCTGAGTTAAATAAAAGAGACACATATGAGAAGATTTAGTAATATTAATAGCCTAGAACCACAAAACAATATTCAGCAGCATTCTGTGTTGTCAGAAATTCAATTATTATATCTGATTTTATACTATTCTTTAAAATTTATTTGCCCACCAAGTGTTATTTTGAATCCATAGCACTGTCATTTATTAAAGCCCACTTAATGAGGCAAAGTGGGCTATTATCTATTTCTAATTCTACCACCCAAACAATCCATGTAATTTTTGAGGATACAATTTGCATTTTAACACTTCTGTATTTTCATAGTTTAGATAGCTGGCTCTGCTACAGTTTGAGTTTTAATGCAATGCTTATCTAGCAACAAATAGAAAATGAAAAAAACATTTTAAAATACCACTTAAAATAGAATTTTAAAATATACTACACCTAAGAGTAAATCTAATCAAAAATTTATAAGAACTTTATGGATATAATTTATAAATTTTATTTAGATAAAGTTTTAAATTAAGGAATATCTAAATAAATGAAGAGATGTATCATGTTGATGAGTTACAAGTGTCAATGTAAAGGTGATTATTCCCAAAATGATTTATAGATTTAACGAAATCCCAGTTTTTAAAAAACGCTTTCTTTTTTATTGTATTTAAATACACATAACATAAAATGTACCATGTAAACCATTTTTAAGAATACAGTTCAGAAAAAAAAAAGAATACAGTTCAGTGATGTTAAACACATTCATATTGTTGTACAGCCATCACAACCATCCATTCCCATATCCTTTTCATCTTGTAAAACTGAAACTCTATACCCATTAAACAATAATTCCCCATTCTCTCCTTCGCCAGCCCCTGGCAACGACCATTATACTTTCTGTCTTTTTGGTTTTGACTACTCCAAGTATCTCATATAAGTGGAATCATACATTATTATTTTTAAAAACAGATTTGATAAACTAATTCTAACTTTTATATGGAAGTATGAAAGACCTAAAATAGCCAAGCACTCCCAAAAAGAATAATAAGGAAAGAGAATATGCCCTATTAAATAAGCCTATCAGACTTAAAATAGAGCTTTAATAATTAAGATAGGAATAAACAGAGAGACCAGTAGGAAAGAAAGGAAATTCTAGAAACAGATCCACACATATATGATTACTTGGTATATGACATATTTTGCATGACAGAGCAGTGGGGAAACAAAAACGCTGGGGATTGGTTATATATATGGGGAGAAAAATGAAACTGGTTCCTTACTAATACTATCCGTAAAAATTCAATTACAGGTGAATTACAGACATAAATGTAAATGGCAAAACTATAAAATTTTAGAAAACAATAAAGGTATATATCCTCATGACTTTCGAGTAGACAAAGGATTTCTTTAAAACGATATAAGAAATACTAACCATAAAGGGAAAAAAATAATAGAGTTGGCTACATTAAAATTAAAAACATTCATTTATCAAAAGATACCATAAAAAGAGTAAAAGATGAAGCAGAGGAGTAGGAAAATATATTTGCAGCACATATAATCTTATGAGGGCCTAGAATCCTGATGTATACGAAACTCTTACTGTGCAGAAAAGAGTCACCATAAGGCCTAAAACTGCCTATAGTTAGAAAGGCTGGCTCACAAGGTTGACCCTTACCTGGAGTCTGGGAACATGGCTAGTAAAAAGTTCCCTACACTCACATAAAATTTTCCCTAAATGATAACAGTGGCTTTTTGCAGTGGTGATGAAAATGTGGAATTAGTGGTGATGGTTGCACAATTTTGTGAATATACTAAAAACCACTGAACTGTACACTTCAATGGTGAATTTTATGATATGTGAATTATATCTTAATTTTTAAATATAATACTTAGAATATTAACCCAGATATGAATGTATCTGAAAGGAAATAAACTATTGACTGTGATTATCTCTGGGTGGTATGATTATAGTATGGGTGATTTTTATTTTCTTTTTCATATGCTTCAGGTTTACCAAATTTTCTACAGCAAATCTGAATTACTTTGGTAAAAAACATTTATTTAAAAATTATATATTAAGTAATATGTTAAGATAGTAATGTTTATAGTATTAATAATGGCTAGTAAAGTCATAGCAGTTTTTGTTTGTTTGTTTGTTTTTTGCGGTACGCGGAACTTTCCCGTTGCGGAGCACAGGCTCCGGACGTGCAGGCTCAGCGGCCATGGCTCATGCGCCCAGCCGCTCTGCGGCATGTGGGATCTTCCCGGACCGGGGCACGAACCCGTGTCCCCTGCATCGGCAGGCGGACTCCCAACCACTGCGCCACCAGGGAAGCCCAGTCATAGCAGTTTTGACGGGCTCCCATTTGTACTTCTGTGGTATCAGGAAAGGGGATACATATATATGCAAGTGTCGCAAAGGACACTATGACCCTAGGTTAAACTGGACAGAGTTCACGCAATGCAACTGCCGAAATGTACATAAAAAGAACTATTAGAGTTCTAGCCAAAGATTATATAGAGTTATAGTCTTTATAGTGACAGATGGTTATTGCTCAAAACTCTAATTTCTTTGTTAGGATTTTCAGATGCACCATGACATTTATTGATTTAATAAACAGTTTTTGAGTGATGATTATGTTCCCTCCAAAAGATAAAAATCAAATATTCCCTATATCTCTCTCATTTTAAACTGATGGTATCATAGTTGGAAAATAATATGATTTTTGATTTACAGCTTTCAGTATTTTAGAATGACCCATAGAAATAAAGCAAAAAAACTGGCTGTAAAGGTTAGAGATGATCTACCTAGGCTGGTTGCTATAAAGACAAATTATTCAGAAGTAAATATTGATATCAAAGGTGTTAGTATTTATTTCTCTTTAGATCCCTCTCTAATAATTATTTCTCTCCCAAATTCAAATCCCCTTTTAATTTTATTCATTAATCATTTTAGAATTTATAGTAATAGTTTCAGAAAACACAGTGATTTTAATCAAGAAATATATCCCAATGTCTAGCTGACATGGTTTTTATACATCCCACTGCCCAGATACTTGGTTAATTAAAAATGATTCATAATGCAGCTCTCAGAATTAAAAAACTTTTTATCACAAATGTTGATCTAAATTTTGGTGCCACATTTTCATAAACAACTTTTCATTAAAACCAAACCTAAGTATTTGCCTTGTAATAAATTACCATGTCCCTCTGGTATAAAATATTCAATATCTTATGTTTCCTTTTTCTTTCATTCATTTATTCAATAAATATTTATTAAGCACAACTGTATCTGCATATACCCCATAGTATCTAGCAATATATATAAGGCATATAAGAATGCAGTCAACTTAGAGCTAGAGACTAATAAGGGAAATAAGACATTTTCATTATTACCTCCAATTGCGTAGACCATCCCTCCCAGAACTGCTACTCCCAGTCCACATCGAGCCTGATGAAGTGAAGACACAGTGGTCCAGTACTGGCTAAAGGTGTCAAAACGTTCTACACAACTGAGGGCTCTACTATCACTCCAACGACCCCCCTGCAACCGAGTATATCCACCTGAATAAAGGAAGGAAAGGAGGTACACAGCAAATCCCTTACTGCTAAATATGGAAATGGCAGTAACAAGAAAAATCTAGCCCTCTATGTCTAGAACTACTGCATAGTAAGTAATAAGTGCTTTAGAGTCTTCCATATATACATCTATTATTCTTAAACGTGCCAGGTCCTGAAAGATTATGGCTTAAATGCAATGAGGTCAACCACAATGTTCTACCACCTGGTCTTGGTTATAATCAAATGTTAGATGAAACATAAATCTAGGAACTGGTTATCTGTCTAGTTAGGAAGTTTCATTGTGACTTCTATTAATGGCTTTTTCAGTTAAATATAGTGAGTTGGGGCTTCCCTGGTGGCGCAGTGGTTCAGAATCCACCTGCCAATGCAGGGGACACAGGCTCGAGCCCTGTCCCGGGAAGATCCCACGTGCCACAGAGCAACTAAGCCCATGCACCACAACTACTGAGCCTGAGCTCTAGAGCCCACAAGCCACAACTACTGAGCCCACGTGCCACAACTACTGAAGCCCACGTGTCTAGAGACCGGGCTCTGCAATAGGAGAAGACATGACAATGAGAAGCCCACGCACTGCAACGAAGAGTAGCTCCCACTCACCACAACTAAAGAAAGCCCACGCACAGCAACGAAAACCCAACACAGCCAAAAAGTAAATTAATTAATTAATAATAAAAAAAAAATAGTGAGTTGAAATCCTTCTTTGACTGCACATCCCATTATTAAAAAAGTTTAGCAAGCACTCAAAAATTACACATTTATATATTATAGTATATATAAAATTATACAATGACATACATACTAAAAATTATACTATACATAAAGTTTTTATATATAATAAATTATGTATATAAATCTGGACAATCTGTTGACATATATATCAAATACTGATAAGGTTTAATGCTTTTTTTTAAAAAAAAATGGAGGGAATTCTCTGGCGGCCAGTGGTTCCGACTCGGCACTTTTACTGCTGTGGCCTGGGTTCAATCCCTGGTCGGGGAACTAAGATCCTGCAAGCTGCGCGGGGTGGCCAATAAACTACACAATACTACACTACACTACACTACAATAAAATAAAATAAAAATGGAAAGGTTCATACGATATTCCTATGGGTTATCCTGCATATCCACACTTTGGCAACCACTAGTTCCTATCATCCCTAACGACCATCTAAGATGCTGTGAATAGTTAAAATGTGTGAGATTTATTTTCCTATTTCTCACAAGAATTCAAATATTTAATTTTTAAAGCAGTATATCTTAGGCAGTTATTTGATAATAATTGGGTATATAAGAACCCAAAGATTTAAATCACAGAATAACAGATGTCAAATAAATAGCTATTTAATCTTAGATGTGTCCACTGTACTATATAAATACAATTTCTAAATCTGTAGCCTGTATGTGAAATTAAGTATGCCTATCTGACATACCTGCACATTCTGACATGTATGATAACAACAAAAATTTAAAAGGTTTTTATCCTGAAAATAATTTCTATTACTTTTTAAAAGGTTCTCACCTACTGCATACAGGTACTTTCTTGCTTTCTTCCGAGGTCGAACCTTAGATGTCTGCAGAAAACTAGAAAATTTGTTCTCTTTGGGAGATTTGCACACCTCACAGTACTCTTTCAAAAGTGTTTGCAATGCAACACGAAGATTAAAATCGGATATTCCTAAAGCAATGTTGAAAAAGATAATGTTTTAATCAATTTTTAAATAATATTGAAAAGACATGTTTCCATGAAAATAAAATACATTTAACAATCAAAAAATGAAAATTCATCATCAAACAATGGAGTATGTTTCCAACAATACCAAGTACTATTTTTCTCACTGCTACTAAAGAATATATACTTTCCTTAAATCAAAGATTGTTTTAAAAAACATGCTTCAGGGCTTCCCTAGTGGCGCAGTGGTTGGGAGTCCGCCTGCCGATGCAGGGGACACGGGTTCGTGCCCCGGTCTGGGAAGGTCCCACGTGAAACGGAGCAGCTGGGCCCATGAGCCATGGCCACTGAGCCCACGCGTCCGGAGACTGTACTCTGCAACG